TGCATGAGTTCGGGTACAGTCTATCTGATCTCTTGTAAAGCGTGCGGGCACGAATATGTTGGCGAAACGGGTAGACCGCTCTGCGTCCGCATAAAAGAACACCTAGTCGGTAAATCTAAATTAAAACAAAATACTCCACTAGGCGCGCATAGGATGCAAGAACACAACGGAGAAGATTTTGAGGTAGGAGTCACTATCCTTACGCAGGAATCAAAAACATCAGGTCTCTTGACTCTTGAACTCCCTCTGAAAAAACTCTTGAAGCGTTTTGGATCAATGCCAAAAATTCAAAAATGAACCGCAAGGAGGAGTGTCCTGTCATCACGCGTGACCTGGCGCCATACCTCAGGCTGATCCAATNACCTGACATGGACACAGTTATCGACCATGTATTACTCTGTGCGGCGGCTATCCACCAACTAACTTAAATACTTACAACAAATAAACGGTAGGTGTTTGAATGAAGCTGTTTCTTATGCGAATGCAAATCGAATTGTCAAGTTTTATCTGCTAGGGTTGTGAAAGTGTTTGGCTGAGTAGATCGCATCTCAATTTGACCTTTCCAGGCTCTGAAGAAGGCGAAACCGCCGAAACGTCAGCAATTGTGTTCTAATAAATTCTATATTAACAACCTCGTGTCTGCTTATTGATGAAAAACATTGAATTATCCTTCTTTGTCTTGCTATCTTTTCTTTGCATGCATTGTCTGAGATCTACCTTTTCTACTTCTTTTGCATCGCATTCTTATTTTTACTGATTTATCTCGTTTGAAATGAGTTTTTAACAATGACAAATTCTTTTAAAAACAGAGTTTATTAATTTAATAAAAAACACAAAAGGGATCAAGCATTCGGCGTTGATCAATCTCTAAGGGATGCGCCATGCGTTCGACTTCATTAAGGATCGTTAGAGGTGATTGAATGCATGTCTGGCCTTTGTAATGGCTGGCGGTGGCCTAGCGATGTGTCGAGCCAGTGTAGCTATCCTCCGATACAAGTGTGGTGCCGATTTGCCGACCTCGGAGGTATGGAATTCTTGATGAGCCACGGGCGCGGGCATCGATCCCATGTGTGTGTCGCAGGGCGCCTCCGACCACTTCACCACACGAGCCCTCTATTAGCAGTCAATTCAATACATTTGGAAAATCGACTTCTAGAGACCTTTTCGAATCTCCATACCTATCAAACTGACATTATTACTATTAATATTATTAGTAAGAGAATAAGTATGACAACAGCTGTAAAGAAAGGAGTGAAAAATAGCTCTCGAAGCGATTCTTATTCGGCCATTCCCATAATGTCTTTTTTCTTCCATGTCATTGTAGGAGATGTAAAATTAAAAGTAAAATCTTATTTAAATTAAAAGTAATTTAGCTTTTTTAAATATTTACTACTTCATGGAATGAATTCGCTACATTATGAATAAGCCCTTACAAAAAGATATCCTTCTCCTGAGAAGAAGAGTGCTGTTCAATAATGTGGAGTGGAACGTAAAACAATGCATGAAACCTATTAGTTATTAAGGAGCCGATAAGTTTCATCGAAGCATCGTTACGATAAAACGAATCAAACTACTTTAACCTGTAAAGAAGTAACGGAACTATGGATGTAACAGGAAATACTTCTATGCATTAAATTGAGCACCAGGGTGAGATGATGCAAGAAAAGTGAATATGAACAAATTTTGCACAAACATTCCTATGTACAGACACAAAACCGACAAAAATAAACTTGTAGATATAGCATTCTGAGATTCGATGACCAGTACGTGGAAACGACGGAGTGATCCTGTAAAGAATTATCCCTTCTCTCTGGTACCATTCGATGAGCATGATGTCGGAAGCACAACGTCGTTGCACAACACAACATCCGTAGCTGAACGAAAATCGATATGTATGGGATGTATTTCGCATCTATTCAAAAGCACCCTTTGACCGAGTTGTGGAGATTTTCGTTTTAGGGCTCATTACTGTTCATTAGAGACTTCAATTGTCGCGAAATACATGCTGTAGTGAAATCAATGGCGGAGCGAGACTAAGGAAAGTAATTCAGTAAGTGATTGGACCATGAGAGTAGAGTGAGATCTAGCTGTACCACTTCCTCACCGAGTGAGGTTACTCTAAAAAAGTGAGATGGTCATTCTTCATTTCATCTTTTTATTTGCAGTCTTCTACAATTTTTCACGGTAGACCGTAGGTGTCTGCGGTGGGTAACGAACGCGCTATTGTCTTTTCTGGGAGATAACGCGTTCACCACCACACCATGCTAGTCCTCCATTTCGCCTGTTACTCGGTTAGTTTTATCGATCAGTGCCATTAGCAATCACCGGTCAACAGGATTGATCTAGAGAGCATGAATCGGCAAATGCATATGCATAGGTACTTGTGGCCGGGTAACGTAAAAAGTAACCTACATTGTTTTATGACATTTTCCTGTTTGTCTTTCATTTCACTAATATCCGTAGAAACTACGCTCGTTGCAGGAAAAGGTGTCACCTTGTTGCTAAACTTTGATGAGCATCCAACCTAGACAGTGAGGTTGAGACTTTGCAAAAAGTAGTCGCTACAAAAAAAGGAATGAAACTAACTGTTAACAACAATGCCGGAAGAAAGACGATCCCGTGCAGTAGACCGAGTACAATGACAAGATAAACAGTTTTTACAAAAACGTACACCATATAGGAATCAACCAATAGAAGAGGCGAAATGCATAAAATAGTCGAACAACCCGCTTGTATCATTGGCCACCCGATAGATCTGAATAGTCAGAAAAACGTTACCCCCAAGGAGAAAGAGATCATTTACTTGAAAATATTGTAGAATAGAAAAAAACTATAGACTATCGAAAGAATAAAGTCTGATCTTCCATCACATCGAAAAGCAAACTTGAATATCTTTTTGAAACATTTACACCGTATGAGACACACTGGGTGGTTAATTTAGAAACTAAGCGAATAGCTTCATTTGAAAACGGCCAGTAGGAATTAATTGTATGAAAACGTGATAACGAATGATCAACTTTCGAGTAAAGATGATGTTCCCACCTCAAAGCATCAGCCAATCGTTCGTCCGTCGTCCAAGAAACAGGATTTCGATAGTAGTGGTAACTGATATGTGCTGAAATCCTTATGATTCCTTGCATTTGATCAAAGTTCGTTTACGCATCGACTTTTTGAACCACTATTATTTCACAAACTACAGTGAGTTAGACGCAATTATCATACTGAAACTTGGGTAGCTGACCGTACGCAAATAAATAAATCGGAGCGTTTAGCTTCAAAATGATTCCTTCATGTCAAAACTTTTACTGTGCCAAGAAAGAGTGAAAAAACGTTGTTTAAGCTTAAACCTAAGTCTAACAACAGGCCTATACTAAACCTATATCATAGTTTAAGTCGGTTTCCTGCTCAATATCCTGTAAAGAGATCTATGAAGGATGTGTTAAAAAGCAAAAGAAAATGTCAAACTGCAAAAGCCTTTGGACATCTGCGAAAAAACCTTGAGAAACTCCTACCAGTGAAGTCTACTGAGAAACCGATGCTCATCAATGTGGTGCACATCGATATCGGATCGAGATTCACACGCCAAAGTGATAATAAACCGAAGACGCCGACGTTGATGGAAAACATCGCGATGGAGCTGAATAGCATTGATTGAGTTTAAATAATCCACTATCTAGAAAACTCTAATATTAGCGATAACAGTGATAAAACTTCCCAATATTTCGAAGCTTTATGATGGTGATGTGCTTAGCTGCGAAACTACGACGCGGGTTCATTGTCGGTGGATTTCATCGGCAGGCTTGTCCAAAATGAGAGTGATTTCGACATTTAGAGTAAACTTTGGCCAATGGCTAGTGTTTTGTGAAAAAAAGTGGGGTGGCAAACTGCTACTCGGTTCACAACGGCCGGTAATCAACCACACAGACGTGGTCATACCTTCACATGGCTATTCAGTAGTTGCAGGAAAACACCCTTTCAATTTTGTCAAATAGCAGGTAAATTGTGCCAACCTATGCAATTCTTTGCTATGATGGATCTATACCTCAAGGGTTTCTGTTCTTAATAATTCTTGTTCCTATATCACGAAATCCCACGGATTCCCTCATACGACGGATCTCGAGCGGGTTAGTCGTGAGGCTACGTGGCGCGTTTCCAGGTGGCGGATACGGGGTTAATCGCGGACCAAAAGCGACCTTTGCTTTCCTGAGACGAAGGTGGATCCAAGGGATACACTCTCTGTTTCTGCTGCGCTGATTTGGCGCATACTTCCTGCATTTGCTAGACGTATTCATGCATGCATGCGTGGGTGTGTTCTTGCTTATGCGGACTGTATTCTACGAGTCAATTCGGTCAAAAGCCTCCAATCAAGTGACTGTGAAGTATATGGGAGGCGGTTAGGAGTACCCTCCAACAAATAGGCTCCATGTCCACACCGGGAGAGCTTGGTAAGCTACCTGTGAGTATACCCAGTCCCCACGTTCAGAGCGCAGCAAGCTATAAGTGGGTATCAAAAAATGCTAAACACAGTAAAAAGAACGCGCCTTATTCCTCCGATTCCGAAAGAACCCCAATTTCGCAGCGTTGGATAGGACGAGTACGGAGAGGCTGCTAAAATCTCAAAATCAATGGAAGTTGCCTGCATCACGAAGAACTATGCTGACGATCTGTACCTACAATGCACGTACACCTGCAGCCCAGTCCTCGATAGAAGACTTGTTCATGCAAGCAAGAAGGATATGCTACGACGTCATTGGCCTGGCCGAGATGAGAAGACTCCAGCCTTTCAACGCCGTCTATGGCACCGGAGAAGAACTGTTCCTCGGAACATGCGACAGTAGAGGAGTCGGCGGCGTCGGCGTTCTCGTCAACACGAATTTGTCCATGAACATCGATTCATTCGAACAACTTACAACCCGAATCGGACGTTAACGATTAAAAAGACGTGGATCAGTATCGGCTTTGACAATCTTCGTCGTTTATGCGCCGACATCAAATTATGACGAAGAAGAAATCGAAGCGTTCTATATGGACTTGGAGAAGTTCTACAGAGAAGACCACACATTCTTCAAGGTTATCATTGGAGATTTCAACGCCGAGAGCGCACCAAGAAAAACGTATGAAGAACGTCACAATGAGACCCTCGGATTAGAATAAAACGAACAGGGTGAGCGGCTGTCTGAGTTTATGATGGCGACCAAAACAATCCATGGTAACTCGCAATTCCAAAAGCCCCACGCTCAACGCTGCATGTGGGAGTCTCTCAATGGAGAGTACCATAACGAAATAGACCACATCATAGTAAATAGAAGGTTTTGCCTAACCGATGTCACAGTTGTCCCAAAATTCAACACGGGATCAGACCACCGTCTGCTTCGTGCAAGATTCTATTCCTTGGGGGAAAAGAGAAAAACCCGCTAAATTCCAAAACCGAAATCCCAGAACCACCGTAAATTGGGACTTATTCAGTTCATTATTCATTCGGCTGTTGGAAAGATGCCGTTGTCGATAACATCGACGGAGAATACGATCGGCTCATTCAACATCTTCACGCTAGCACTATAAAAGCTCAGAGTTCGCAAGTTACCAAGAGACGTCTGTCTCCAAAAACGCCGAGATCCGAGTAGTATTCGTGAATAATTTTCTCCATTGCCTCCGTTTTTCCCTTTGCTGATACGCTAGCGTGTAATAGCACAAGCTGCAGGCAGCCGCGAACTAACGTCCGAACTTGCAAAACAGTGCAGAGAGGCCATAAAAGAAGATCTTAGAGACAGAAAAGCAGCAGTAA